ATAGGTTAAATAAACATTATTTATTATTAACTAAAAATATTATTAACAGAGAATCTGTTTTTGACTTTATGGTCCTGAAAATAGCAGTTTTCACATGAGTACCGCTATTTTAATTGAAATAATGATTTCTTCCTTGGCCCTTTTAAGCGTAATCTTACATCACAACCTCACTATTCAATTTACACCTATCGACAGAATCCGCAGTTTGTTCAATGGGGAAAACTATAATAGCAAGTGTATAATAAAACTGTATAGTTGTCATGGCAACCAACTAGGTCTTAAGTAATCAATGATTTAAGCAATTACAGAATACTATTTTTTTCGTCACTTGGGTCAGTAACGAGTCTGTAATAGACACGAGAAATTATAATCAAATATTCATAACAGTCAATCAAACACTGAGATACAAAGCTTGTGCGCTATTTATTGCATTGTAGCGACTTCCTCTATATGTAAGTGTTCGTATATTCACCTTTGAAGGATATCATACAGTGATAGTATGCATACATGACACGCCACGTCTGGAATTTAGATCGAGCACTGAGTGTAACGATCAGTTTGAACCATAGCAGTGGTGACGTTTTATTTCTCGACTATTATTTTGATGGGCAAATACAGCTGGTAAGATCGTGTCTGCATCTTTCCTCCAAGACAGCAGTACATTGTATATTTCAAACGTTTCTGCTTTAGTTACTCTTCTGGAGTTGTTGAACAAAAGAAACCTCGGCTGGAATAATGATGATTTCTTATATACGCACGCTATATGCTTCGGGTTGTAACCGATCTCAAATGGACTTGAAGCAATTGACAAGCTTCTTCCTCTCTAGTCATTACAATATACGACTTACATGATGTTGGATTTGTTCTGCTAAGAGATATTATGCAATGACCATTTCAAATGCATTGATTAAATGCTGTGGTTGTTTTAAAGATTGATAGATTGATTAAGCCGTAACTCGTGGATTTTTTCATTTGTCATCAAGAATATATCAGGGATTGTACGGCAGATTTAAATACCTTTCTAATTAAATAAAATAAATATGCTTAGAAATCGTGTTCCTTCCAAACAACAGGTTGGATCAAGCATGTACTAATGTTTACACCGGACATATAACCGCTGATGATCAATATTTTTTTAATAGGAATCTTCGCTTATAATAGAACGCTCATTCTCAAGCTTATTAGGATACCTTTGTCCTGAACTTGCAAAGCCAGTCATGAATATTTGATTTTGGTTTTAAAATTGCATTATAGAAATAGGAACTGGTTTCCTGTCAGTATCAGCAGCTGTGTGGTTATATATGCCACACTGAAAATATAATTTCATATCCGTGGAACGTGTGGCCTAATTCACTATGTGTCGGTGTTTATGACAATCATGTTGATCTCAGGGAATATTTCAACTATGCTTGATAATTGGATACTGATTTGAAATATGGATAGAGCATCAATGGAACCTAGAGATGAGATATGGGAATTCAACATCCTGGCGGCATGCAAGGTAAAATAATGTTGTTTTTGTGATATGAATCCGGTGGCATATGGGCATGTTTGGTTACAAGTGAACAGGTGTTTAGGCAACATTGGCAAATTAAATTCTGTTCTATAAATATACTTACATACTTTATTATTCATATGCAGAATAATTATTTTTAAAATATCAATTTTTAGTACACTATGATTAATAATTTCAATTCTGGAATCACAATAAATAACTCACTGATTTAAATGAGCCTAATCACCACCTACCCCCACAATAATTTGGTTTCTGGGGTGGGGCTAACGGCACTATATGTATTGTTATGCTAATTAGCCGTTCTTGCAGGCTTTCAGTTGTATCACTTTTTACAATAATATAATGTTCAACTACGACTACATTTATAATACTTGGGGGGAAAAAAAGCGACCGTTATTTTTTTTTTTTTAAACTGCCAAACAAAGCTGTCACTTTCAGGGCTAATAAAATCTATTTGATAG